AATATATTTTCGTGATATATATTAGAAATATTAAATTTTATGGCTGAAAAAGACTTGTGGTTTTTTTGTTTTATCCCTTTTAATTTTTTTAACTTTTTTGATTTTGCGTTGTAATTTCATGGCTTTTTGCTGGGCTTTTCGCTGTAATTTCACTGTGCTTTTTAGTTCGCCGTTTTTTTTAATGTTACTTTTGCTTATATTTATTCATCGCTGTATATAGATCGCTGTACATTTGAGAAAAAGACGTCGTGATAACGGTTCGCTACAACTGGACCAGCCGAAGCTGTGCTTTTCTCTTAGTGAAACAACGGGTATGCCATGTGGACTTTCCTTACACGAGGTAACTGCTTTTTTTTTCTAACATATCTCGTCCTTTAAATAGTTTCTGAGTCGAATTTTCTGCAGATTACCATTAATTCTTGTGTTCAACCAAAACACCGTACTGGCCGCCTTCAGTAGCAAGTAGCGGTTGTTGTGCCGAAGGCGATGACGTACCTTTGCGAAACGTGTTCACTGAAGAAAGCAGAAAAGCAAGCGCTGGCTGTGACGGAAAGATATGAAATTCCTAACTGTGTGAACAGCAAGACTCAGGTAGCCTGTTTTCTGTTATTTACAGCGCAAGGAGTCCAATTCGCTGGTGGAAGAATTCATGTTGCAAGCCAATATGGCAGTAGCACGTAAAATTGAGGCAAGTTTCCCGAAAACGGCACTTTTGCGGAGGCATCCACCGCCAAAATTGAAGGTACCGCATTACTTTACAGTACTGCTTTACAGTATTACAATATTACTGTATCTACAGTATTACTTTTATCCGCTTAATTCTTATTTTATGTTGTAACTTTTTATTTATGCTTTTAGCAATTCACCCCCTTCCCTTTCACCCCTCATCACCTTCCCCTCCCTTTTCCCCTCCTGCTTCCCTGTGCCGAATTTCCTTGGTATGTGTATCTCAGTAACATCGCTGCTGCCCGATAATATTTTGGACAGTCTTGATTTTGAGCCAATTTTTTGAACACTTTATTGTGATTGATGACATATTTTTGCGACTTTTTTTTATGGATTTTGATTGTTCTATTACGGATTGTTACGGATTTTTATTGTTTTGTTACGGATTGTTACGGATTTTGAACAAAAATAACTGTAATTCTCTTCTTTTTTTACAGATTTTGAATGGAGGAATTATGCTTTTTTTCCAGAAATTGAACGATCATGCGATGCGAATTTGTTTTTTGTCATTATTGTAGATGTTGCGCGATATTTTGGAGAAGTGCGAAAAGATTGGCTTTTCAGTGGATGGCTCAACAAGTGCAACGATTTCTTCAAGTCTGCGAAGATACGAAGGACGCAGTGAAATGAAGCGAACAGTTGTTCAGGTATCATCATCATGCTGCCATACTTTCGTTCACCAATGCATTTTATTTTGAGAATAAGAAACTATAAAACGTCATTTTTCCCTCACATGCATGTAGATTAAGTTACCAAAGTTTCAGCCTTCTAGCTTTTCTGGTTCTCGAATTGGAAGTGAGTGACAAACAGGGTCAAACACATGGACACACACACGCACACAGACAGCCCCTTTACCAATATGCGTTTTTGCATTTGGATATATGCGAAAACTCATAAAAGTCGATTGTTCAACTCGGTCAGCAGACAGACTGATCTCCGTGCAATTTGTTCATTCGTTTTAATAGCCGTAGGTTGAAAGACCATTGACAAATCTGCTACTACTCGGCCTATTTTGGTATGAAATTTGGAGGGGGTGCTATGGCAAATGTTTTGAATTTCAGGTGCTTTCATATTTGCTGATGAAAGCGATGCAATTGGCTGTATATTTTTGCGTTGGTTCAATGAAAAGTAAAGCGGAATATGCACATTATGCCTTATCAGTGCCTCTGTATACCCACTTCACGTCACCGATTCGACGATATCCTGATGTACTGGTAAGTTGTATTTAGGGATTTGATGACCTAGCATTTCAAAAACACATAAGTTTTGGCGTGGTATAATTTTAGTACTGCGCGTGGGGCAAAATAAGAAGAAAAATCAAAAGGGAAGTAGGAAAAGAGAATTAGAAAATCAGGAAAATTGTGAAATTAGTACCATTATTATGTTGGTAAAAAATGTTTCGGTCCATTAAGTCGTAATAAGTCCGTTAGCTGAAAGCTGGCGAGGAAGAGATAAAATTTTTTTGACGAGATTTGGCGAGACAAATTTTTGACGAGATATTTGACGAGATAAAAATTTTTTTAAAAATATTTGACCTTAATAGTAGTGGTTTTTAATGTTCAGAAGATGAAATAAACTTCTTTTTATTGTGATTGTCACTCAGTTTCGGCCTGTAATTTAAACTGTGAAATATCGCAGTGGGCTCTCGTTTTCTCTCCAGGTGCATCGTTTCTTGTCTGCTGCAATTGGATATTCACCGCCGCCCAGTCTTACGATCAAGGAAGTTGCGGCGATTGCAAATCATTGCAACGATCGAAAACTGACCGCTAAGACAGTTTCCGAAGCCAGTGATGATATGTTCTTTGGCGTTTTTATTAGGGTTTGCTTGTTTGTTTTTTTTTTTTTTTTGAAAATAGTCGGTGAACAGTAGAAACCAATAATGTTATAATTCTCCCGTTAGAAGAACCTTTTTTTGAAGAACTTAAAAGCTTCTAGTAAGGTTATTTTAGGCAAATGAGATTGGAAAAGACTAGCTTAATTGGCTTATTTGCAGGAATGTGGTCCGTTAACAGAGCGTGCTGTGGTACTGCAGGTGCTGGATGCATCGTTTGATGTTTTGGTGATCAAATATGGTGTTGTGAAACGTGTCTACACGAATGTACGCTTTGATAATCTGCCAAAAACTGTCTCCTTTTTCATTTTCTGTAAGAGATGGAGCACTCCGAAGTAGCGCCAATAGCAACTACCACCTGACTGGGAGGATGGAAGAGAGCGGGGGCGCACCGGTCGAATTTTGATAATTAATGGAAACACTGGAATTGCCATTTAGATCTCCCATGTATGTACAGTGACTTGGTAGCCTGTGTCTGTGTTTCATCCCTGAGCTGTAAACAAACGGTACGAAATGAAATGGTAATTATCAGTGCAGTGCCCCACTTCGCCGTTTTAAAAAGAAACATGTTGATTATGTGAGAAAGATAAGGAAGGGGAAAGGGAAGTGCAGTCATACTTTGACATTCCTCCAATTTCCTTTGCTAAATGATATTCCATAGCTGTACACATTGTATTTGTTCTACATTTTTCACGTCGCATGAGACCAAATTCGGTATTTTTGCTCCCAATATGGTCCAGCGATCAACGAGAGAATGATTTTGGAATTTTTGATGAAATTTTTGATTTTTGCTGATAACGAGCGAGCACCACGGAATTTTTTGTAGCGTTTGCGAATGGCTCGTGAGCCACGATACGTCGGTGGGCCATGCCC